CAGGAGCCACGGTGGCGGCTGAACAGTGGAGACCGGGACCCGCTGTATGTGTTACACACACACCAGATACCAAAGACTTCGTATGAAAAAAGAATGTAAAATATCTGCTCTATACATCCACTATATTACCATCCCAATACATAATCAATAAAAACTGAAAAGGAGCTGGCGCCGTCGATGTGCATGTTCAAGATCACAAAGGGCATCACAGGAAGGATCTAGCATTTAGGAGAGGGGTTCAGAGGGCGCTCAGGCCTCGGGGAGGCAGAGGCAGAAGGCACGATGCATGCCGACTTGAGGAAGGCTTTGGAGGGATCGAGCCAGGTGGCCACCAGGGAGGCGCTCAGGCAGGAGCTGCGGGCTGCGGTGCAGAGAGGGGAGGTGCTGAAGAGCGGGGATGGGGGCGGTGCGGGGAGCTGCGGCCCAGGGCACTGGCAGAAGCCAGCGTGTGATGTGGCTGAGAAAGGAGGCTGGGGCCAGATGGCGGCAGCTTCAGATGCCAGGCTGAGCCGGCTGGGCACGCAGCAGGCACTTCCAGGAAGACCGGCTGACCAGGACCGGGACTGAGGCAGCTCCCCGAGGACGTCCAAGTAAGTGGCAGGGCCTTGGGCCCACCTCACAGGGCACTGAGACGCTCCGGGCCTGCACTTCTCCAGGAGCCCAGCCTCCAGCTCTCTCCCCTACGGAGAGGACGATTTATTTATTCACGAGCATACAAACGCTCCCACCAGGTGGCCAGCCCCCGTACACCTCGCTTCTAATTATAGCAGGAATTTCATTAATGCTGGCAGGAAACACCAGGTTTCCAATCACCCCTGTTAGTGGGCGCCGGCCCACTCTCATCCCCCGTCCCAGCCCACGGCCAGCGGCCCCCAGGCCCAGGATGGCAGAGTGTAGCCAAGGGGTGTGGCTCTCAGCCTATCCTCAGCACGGCAGGGCCACGGGGAGAGGAGAGCGCCTGCCCCTACCACCTGGCCACACATGGAGCGCAGCCTCCAAGCAGCTGGGAGTGTGGGGCGCTGACTTGGACACCTCCAAAGCACAGGGCAGGAGGGGGCGGCACGGTGGCCAGAGCTGGATAAACAAGGCAGAGATGGCAGGTGGGCAGCCTGGGAGGTGCGCAGCTCTCAATTCTGGGAGCCCTGGGGTGACACAGCGCAGACGTGCTGCGGGGAGACCTGGAAGTGAGGGCTCTGAGGGGAAGGAGGGTGGAGGTGAGGAGGTCTCAGGGAGACGCTGCAGGAAGCGGGAGGCCGCGCTGCAGAGGAGGCGGCTAGGAGGTGTGCAAAGAGAGGAGCTGGGCAGGAGAGAGCAGAGAGAGACGGGGACAAAGACAGACACGTGGAGACAGAGAACCACTGCCCACTCCCCTGCCCAGAGAGCCCAGACACGCACACACAGGGCCGGCCTGGAGCTTGGAGGCCCAGGCGGGAAGTAAAGAAACGACTAGTCTGGGCTTGGCTGCTCAGAGGACTGCTCTAGCAGACCCGGCCCACCCAGAGCCTTCAGGCCAGAGACTTGGAGTGTGAGTCTGCAGAGGGATGCACGACCCCCAGAGCCCTGTCCTCCCCAGCCATGGGGAGCTGTCAGGGCCTCCAGCTGCAGGAGGGAGGCCTCCCCCTCGGGGGTCCCTCAGGAGCACACCTCCGCCCGCTACCCTGTCCCTCAGTGGGCTGTGCCATGGTCAGCAGGGTGCCCCAGGCCAGTCTGAATATGGAGCCAGGCGCGCACATGGGAGGGTCTTGACACACGCTGGGGGTGGGGTCTCTCCTACCCTTGCACACTCATGCATACTCACACGGCCTCACACACCAGCCTGAACAAGCACACCCACACCCTCACAGCCACTCACGGGCACTGCGTACACACACGCACACAGCCGCGCACCCTCTTTCCCGCCCTCCCAGGCTGGGTGCATCACCCGCCCTGGGCCTCTGGGCAGGGAACACAGGCCCCACAGTAGGGCCGGAGAGATACAAGCTCCTTCGGAGAAATGCCTGTGTCAGGCCCAGCTCCGGCTCCCATGCTCAGTCCACCCGGGCAGGGGAGGGGGCTCTATGGGGAAGGAAGCCTTGGAGAACATGTTCCCCATCTGCTGCCCTCTTCCGAAGGACCCTGGCCCAAATCCCAGGGAGGGCACAGGAGCTGCTGAGGTTACACCAGACAGACCAGCAGATGAGGCCCAGGCCTGAGGCCCCCAACTCCCAGATGTGGGTTCTCTATTCCTCTACGTCCCCCTACCCGACCCACAGCCTGCCCCACCCCAGTCTCAGTCCCAGAGCCACCCCAGTGTAAGGAGCTCAGATCTCACTGCTAACCCTGCTCAGTGCCCTGACGTCCATGCAGTCGGGCCAATCGGGGCAGCAGGCACCGAGGCACTGGGGTCTTGCATGACAGTCCTCCTCAAGTCCTCCCTCGGGGCCTCTGAGAAGGGGCTCCAGAGGGGACAGACTTCTCTCCCTGCCAGTGCAGCCTGCCCATGGTACACCCTGGAGAGCCCCATGCTCTCTCCCAGACTCAGGGATGCTCCAAGCCCCCCAGTGCTCCATGCAGCCCCAACCCCAGCTCGCACATGTTCTAGCAACGAGGAACTCACAACCTCTCCAGGAGCCAGCTTTTTTAAAAAAAAATTTCCAGAGAGTTCAGACTCTTGGAAAGTTGAACTTGAGGATTTCAAGGCGACAGACAGCAAGGTTGCCACTGAGGGGCTGAGCTCTCCTGGTCACAGTCCCCTGGGCATCATTAGTTTGGCCCATCCCCCCAACTGTCTCTCCAAATTATAACGGAGCTAGAGAAACAATGTCCTATAGCCAGGCCCACCTCCTCCCCTGATGACAGCTAACTAGGACCCAAGATTATCACTCGTCACTCACTCAATAAAATATCAATGGGGCAACTGTCGTGTGCCAGGCACTAGATGTGGTAATGAATGAGGATTCGTTTAATATCTGTTTCTAATCTGATTAACATCTGCCCTTTGCCCATTGTACAGGTGGCAAAGCTGAGTCCAGAGAGAGGCAGGGACTTCTCAAAGTCACACGGAGAGCTGGCAGTGAGAGCAGAGGCTCACGCTGCCACTGCGGGCGCTGACAGTCCGCCAGCCCTGGGAAGAGAGGGAGAAGGCCACACGTCGCCACCCCCAGCCCCGGCCGTTTCTAGGACACCAAGGTATTGATTACCAGCCTTGCCTTGGAGTGGTTTTCTTTTCTTTTCTTTTTCCACCAAGGCTTTCTGTTCCTCATTTTCTTTTTTTTTTTTTTTTGAAGAATAAACTGGAAGCCGCTCCTATGATTAATTACCAGCTGCCTAATGCTCCGCCACTGGCAATTTCTGGAAAGGGAATGAATTACCTTGAAAAACATCCGAAAAGAGAAGCCACCGTGAAGGAGAATTTCAAAGGTTACCTGACAATTAGCAGTGGGCTCCCCCAGCCTCAGCGGGTTCGAGCGGCAGGTTGCCAGCCCGGGGGCCACCTCTGGCTCCTGAGAGCAGCAGGGCTCCCAGGGCGGGCAGAGGCTGCTCCTGGTGGCAGTGGGGGCGTCCCTGGAGCAGCCACCGTGAGCCTGCCCCGCGGCCCCGCCCTGGTCTCTAAGGCGTCCGCGCCCGCTCCATTCCAGCGCACCTCAGTTCGAATCCCCACGCTGCCACTTACGCTCTGTGGGTTTCTTAACCGTGTCGAGCCTCTGGAGAATGAGGCATTAAACAAACCTCCTCACAGGACGCTCGTGGGGGAGAAATATGTACCGAGGGAGCGTAGTGCCTGGCACGCAGCAGCCGCTCACAAAGCTGTAGCGTTTAGAAATATTCGCAGCTTCTAAGCATCCTCTTAACAGCCCTGTCAGCAATGCTGGCGTAATCATCCTCATTTTCAGATGAGAAAACGGATTCTCACGGAGGGGAAGGGACTGGCCCGAGGTCACGCGGCTGACGAGCAGGGCTCCGGGGAGCAGCCGAGGGCAGCGGGGGGTGGGATGACGAGGTGGGGCCTCCGCGCCAGGGTGAAGACCCCCCCCCTAGGCTGGCCCCAGGCCACGGCGCCTCGGGACAAAGGGCCCTGGCCCAAGTAAGCATTTTTGTGAAGGCCTCTCATCTCCGGGCTGAGAGCTGCGGGAGTAAACAGGGATTACGCAGGTCACCCTCGGGCACGGGGCCAAGCGTGATCAACCCTGAAAGGCACCCCGTGATGACACACACTGGTGTGCAGGCCAGAGGCCCCACCCAGGAGGCTCAGCCTCAGACCTGCTGGCTGCAGCCGCTCTCAGGAGCTTCCTGGGGGTCCAGCCGCTCCCAGGCTGGTGACCCGTTCATATCCGTCCTGGCATTGGTGGGTCCTCAGCGGGGAGGGGATGTAGGGGGAAGGGAGGGTCCCAGCGCCCTTGAGGAAAACAGCTGACATATCCCGAGTGCTTGCTGTGTGCCAGGAGTGCAGTCCCCTCACTGCAATGGTGGGGACAGGCGCTGCCATCACACCCCATGTGACAGATGGGTAAACTGAGGCATGGAGCAACTGCACACAGTCATAGTAGACCAGTGCCAAAGTGAGGACTGAATCCAGGTGGTCTGACCCCAGAGTCCCGTATGTGTCCAGCGCGGCATGTTTGTGGGGGTGGGCAACCACTGCGCCCACTCCAGCCAACATGCCTGTGTCACTCAGACCTCCTTCAGCATGGCCGCCCACATTCCACGGGGCTCAGAGGGTGCAGGTAGGGTTGCGGGGCCAAGGCTGGGGAGCCAGACCTGTCCCTTCCCTGGGCACACCCCCACCTCCCATCCCTGGCAGCCACTCTAGAGGAAGACCAGGCCAAAGAGGCCCCCAGGCACCAGGGATAGGAAAGGCCCGTCTGGGCACGATGAGGTCCCAGCAAAGGTGGCCTAAGCCCACACCTCGCCATGAGGGCTGAGGCCCAAGTCAAGGGTGCAGTGCGCTAGGGCCAGCACCTGCCCTCCACAGGGAACACGCCCGCCCCTCCCCGAAGCACCCAGCCCAGCTGCACACCCACCTCAGTGATCCACGAACCCCCAGTGTCCCACACGCCGGTCAGCAGCTGGCGGCCCCTCCACCTCACTGCAGCTCCATCCTGCTGCAATGAGAAGAGGCGGTCAGTGGGTCCATCCCCAGCAGGGGCCCCGGCACTGACCACGCCACCACCACCCAACACCTGCGGGAGAGGCTACAGCCAGCAAAACCGTGCCATCCATCTGACAGACGGCAGTCTGAAGGGGCATGAGGGGGCGCCCAGACATAAACATGCCCCCGACACCCCACCTCTGCCAGTCACCGGCTATGTGACGTGGACGTGTGCCCAGCCTCCCTGAGTTTCAGTTCCTTATGTGTCAAATGGGATCACAATCCCTCCCACAGCTGCCGGGAGGACCCAAGGAGCCATGGTGACAAAGGCACTCGGCATTCACTCATTCATTCAACAAACATCTAACGAGCACACAGGGCTGTGACAGTGGTCCCTACCCTCGTGGGGACTCCGACAGTGAGCAGAGAGTCAAACAATACGAAATGGAAGTGGTGCTTGCCAGAAAGAACAAGGACAGGGGCTACACAGCAGAGGCCCAAGGTCCAAGGTGGCTTCTTTGGAGAAGTGAAATTGAAGGATGAGACAGAGGAAGGCAAAACGCAGGGAACAGCATTCCAGGCAGAGGGAACAGCGTATATGAAGACTCCAGGGAGGAAAGCCTGGCCCAGCGGAAGACTTCAGAGGGGGTGGTGTGGCAGGTGCAGCGAGCGAGGGAGAGGAGGTGTGAGTGGGGACCAGGCGGCAGAGGAGGGTCTGAGCAGCGGAGGACATGACCCTAGTTCTAGTTTGGGAAGACCCCATGGCTGCCGAGGGAGAAGGACTTGGAAGGCACAGGAGGCAGGACAGCAGTGAGGAGGCTGCTCCAGGGTCCAGGCCAGCGATGGTGGTGCTCAGGGCGGAGAGAGCAGCAGGCAGAAGCGCAGGACCTGCTCACACACTGGGCGTGGGGGCACACGACCATCCTTCCTGGCCCATCTCCTCTGTGGACCACCAACATGCTCCCCGCTGCCCACAGAGCTCCGTGGTACTCCAGGAAGGACCAGAACCAGAGGCCTGGCCGGCAGCCTTCTCTAAAGTCCCAGCTGTGAGGGTGCCTCTCTGTGCCTGTGTGCCCTCCTCCAAGCTCCCCAAGCCAGGCCCAGGGTCCCCACCCCAGCCACAAGGAAAGGGAATGTCTCCACATCCCCCAAATTCTACTCCCCTCAGGAATCTAAACAGTTTTTGGGTTCACTGACCCTAACGCTTCCATTTCACAGAGAAGAAAACTGAGGCCCACAGAGGAACAGTGTCTGCCTTCATCCCAGGGTCAGGCAGCAAGTCAGTGGCTGGGGCAGAACTGGAATCAACCTCCTGCCTCTCTACCGCCCACAGCCAGGCCTTCCCCAAGGGCGAGCTGGCCAGCAGAGCTGCTGACAGAGAGAAAATAATTATCTTGGCAGCTGAGACAGAAGCCAGAGCCGGAAAGCCCTCACTCACTCCGTGAGCGTCGTCCAGGCCCCAAGACATGATGTCGCCCATCCCGTCTCTCAGGGGTGCTCCAGCTCACGGTGCACACGCACGTGCCTCGTGCCCCCAGAGCCCCCAGCCCCTTGGCGTGGGGCCTGTGAGACCAGAGAGGGGAGGGACCTGTCTGAGGTCACACAGCGATAAGTGAGGGTGCTAGAATTCGAACTCAGGCCCCGGTGGGGGGGACTGTGAGCCTGCAGTGGACCCCCCCCTCACACCCCAGAACGAGACAGGAAGTAGGAGGCCTGCCTTTACTGAGTCCATATTGTGGATTATGCCTGGGATGTTTCCTTTAACCCTCAGTGAGATGTTGTCAGGTAGAAACCAGCATCCCCAATTCCCACACGAGGCCCAGAGAGGTTCTATAACTTCCTGAGGTTGCTCAGCTAACAAGGAGCCCGTAAGAAGGCAGCTGGGATGCGAGGAGGCACTCTGCCCGCTCTCACCATCGCCCACTGCAAGGCGACCAGCCAGTGCCTGGCACCCCGACTCTCCTGCCTCCATGCTGGCCCCCGCTCATGCTGGTGAAGGGAGGCTTGGGAACCAGGGGCCCTGTTGGGTGCCCGCAGCTAAGGCTCGCAGCCTGTGTGGGCTTGGCCTCCCGGTGAGATCAGGGAGAGGAGAAGGCAGGGGACCAGGTGGAGCCCTGGCTGCTCCCAGCCCAACCAGACCACAAGGGTAAACCACGAGGGCCTGGAGGGGGCTGTTCTCTTCTTAAAAGGCCCTTGGTGCCATGGAGGAGGAGCAGCCTGAGCCTCAGGGCCAGTGGTGGGCTGCGGGCAGGGGGGGCACACCCAGTCTCCCCATGGGACAGGTACTTCCACGCCCAGAGGGCTCTCCTGGGCACCCTCATCTCAGGACTCTCAGCCCTGGGGGTGTGCGAGACCCTGAAGGCAGGGCAGCTTCGATGTTGAGGCCAGAAAGGGCAGTGTGCAGATTGCAGAATGAAACACCCCTCCCTCTCCCAGTGCTTCTGAAGCTCCCGGGGCAATGCCCACTTTGCAGAACACAACATTGAGGCTCTAAGGGAGAATGGGGTTGGGGAGGGGTCACAGCTGGAGACCGACAAGGCTGGGTCTCAGACAAGGCAGAGGTCACTTGGGGGCAGGGACTACCCCCAATCATACCTGCCTTCCTGTCCCCACCTCCTCCTGGGATCCCCTGGGAGGACCTGGGTGTGGGCTCAGGTGGAGACACCTGGCCAATCTGTGGTTGTGCCTGGCCCAGAGGGACACAGTTCCATCTAGGATTCCTGGAGGGCAGAGGTGCCCAAGACACAGGGTGTCCAGGACGCAGGGTGCTGGAAGGGCTCTGTGCCTGTGGCCGGACGCCTGAGGCTAAGTGACCAGCTGCTCTGTGCAATTGCCAACAGTTGGAGTCCACATTCTGGGCTGGAGCGCTGGCCCTGGCCTCCGTGGTGAGGTCAGAGGGCAAGGGTGGGTAGAGCTGGGTTTGAATCCCTGCTTTGCCATCTGCTGCTGGGGGACCTTTAGCAAGTCACTGGGCTTCTCTGAGCCCCCATCTCCTCTCCAAACAGGGGCTGACTGCTCTCTAGCTGCTCCCCGCTAGGGGAGCCTCCAGGCTTAGCTGGAGCACACACCTCCCGCAGCCCACTGGGGAGGGGGCTGGATGCCCCAGGTAGTGTGGTGGGCAGGGCCCACACCAGGGCACCAGGCCTCAGCTCCTCACACCTGATGCTGACCACACACATGCCCTGGTGTCCCTAGTGGCTGTCAGGCCTTAATGAGACATGGGGAGTGCAGACGCAGGTACCACGGAGGAAGAGTTCAGGGCAGGTTGAGGACTGAAGCCTGGGGGAGGGGTAATTGCGCAAGGTCACCAGTGGCCGAGTGGGGGTCAGAGCTGTCGTCACGTGGGCGCCCATCCACACCTGGTCCAACCTGCCGTACCCTGGCTGAGCTGACCTGAGCCAGCTCCCACCACTGAGCCTCAGGTGCCCAAGCAGCTCCGCTCCCACTTTACAGCACAAAGAGGGTCTGGTCCGGCAGCCAGCAGATTCTCTGGGGTGACAGGGGTTTCCCCATCTTGGAGAGCCCCCTCCCCCTGCCCGCCTGCATGCATCCCCTTACGTGACCCTAGGGGCAGGCCCCTGTCCTCCCCTGGCGGCCAGTGCTGGCTCCAGGAGCCAGGCAAATATTTACCCCAGGGTTATCCAAACCGAGCCCGGCCTCCTCCTGCATTCCTGGAATACCTGTTCCCTGACCTCACCAAGCTGGGGGTGGGGATCCAGACATGGGAAGAGCCAGACCCGGCTCAGGCCTAGGTGGAGGCCAAGGCCCCTGCCCAGGGCAAGGCAGCCTCGAATCACCTCTCTGGCCTCGCACCCACCCGGGCAGGCTCCAGGCTGCTCTGGCATAAGAGCCAGACATTGGCTGGGGCAGAAATCCCCCCAGGGACCACTGGGCAAGGAGGCCTGAACAGCCCCGGGTGCTGTGGTGGGGCAGGGGCTACACCAATGCCACCTCTGAGCCTGTGGTTCAGGGCTCCTGTCACCAGGCATCAGCTGCGCACACTCGCTGCCAATGCACGCACACACACACATGCCCCTCGGGCCTGCAGAGCAGCCGCTCAGCCCGCCCAGACCAAACGGCAGTCCTCCCCGCCCCACTCCATCCTCAGCACAATCCTGTCGCTGGGGAGCTAGGTCCCACTTCACAGATGAGGAAGCTGCCCAGCAAGGCCAGAGGCATGGCAGAACTCAAGCTGTCTCATGGCAACCCACGTTTCCACAGCTCTGCGATTGCGTCACCACCCTTCAGAACGCTTTGCATCCTGCGATGCCCAAAGGACCCCCTTCCTCCATGCTGCCTTCTCTGAGAGTGCCCCCAAGTGAGCTTTCCCTTCCCTGAACTTCCAGAACATTCTGATGGTGTTTCCTTCTTTCTCTTTGCATAATTAAAATTGGGCACCTGGTAATCTCTTCAGCCGGTAGGCCCAGAGGGCAGGACCCTGCCATCCTCATTCCAGGCACAGTGGAACTGAGCCTGGGGGCTTCGGTGGCCCTGAGCACTCAGGGAGGACTCAACATCCTCTGAATCTCTTACCAAAGAGCAGTAACTACAGGTGGCCTCAAGGAACAGATAAGACAGACTGAGCAAGCTGGTAGTTTGGGGTTCAGGCTGCCTGAGAACCACGAGGTACCCTGGGTTCAATGATCCCGACTGCCTTCACCTCCTCTGAGGAGGCTTCGAGCTGTTCTAGAAGTGTGCCCGCACCCAGCCCCGGGAAGCCCGGCCTGTCAGTTTTTTGTCGTGCGTTCCTCGTCCCCCCCGCCTTCCTCTCTTCTGCGTGGGATCCTGGCAAGTGGCAGGGAAGGGTGGACTGGCAGCGTCTGGCTGACCTGCTGGGGATGCGAGAATGCCAGGCCAGGGAAGTCTGCATGGCGGGAGTTGCGGCCGGCACCTGCCGCTGGGCCCTCGGGGATGCCCCCATGTACCTGTAGCCAGCAGACACCCTGTGCAAACCCGAGGCCTCACCCGGGCACCGTGGGGCACCCATAGAGTGGAGTTAGGAAAAAGTGGGGG